CCATTGAACTTAATGATCTTTGTTAAGTGTTTCTATCATGCGTATTCCATAGTTAAGGAACTTGATAAAGTATAATTTGGTTGTGATGCGTTTTCCATTCAATTCAATGAATCTAGGGAAATCTGAAAATTAATTAGTTCAATACAATTAATTTGGGGCATTGGCATTCATGGTTTGTCGAAAGACTAATTGGAAATCGATTCGTATGCATATGTTTCATGTGTGGAGAAGGAACCCTCTAACTAGCCTATCATCCATCTAATTCACCCAGTTTCGTCTAAAATCTGTTTAAGTCTTTCTTGAGTGTTTTTAGCTTATTTTGAGTCTTGTGAACTTGTTTTGAGTCTTTTGAGTCTAGCCAAATGTTTTAAGTTTGTTTTTGTGTTTTTTTGAGTCAGTTTAGAGTGTTTAGCAATCCCTCATATTCCCCGGTTTAAGAACAATCCCTACTTATTTATATACTACAATTGTCAAAAAAGGGTTTAATTTGTGTGTCAAGTTAATTTTCACATCATCCAAGATTCTGAGAAAAGTGACAATCTGAATAGCAGAGTCTTCAGGCTCAGGTTGCCCAAGCGAAGCGCCACCAACGTTCTTCAGAGATGGGTCTCTGAAGGCAACCCAATTTCCATTTCGGACCTCCACCAGATCTCGAATGACCTCAGCAAGTATCATCGTTACAAGCACGCCCTCGAGCTTGCAGATATCCGAGTAGATGGTCAGCCATATTGGACATAGATCCGATGGCACCGTCTCAGTTCCATCCACGGCCCAGCAGACTCTCTGCCATGTCCACTAGGTTACAGAGTGACAGAACGGATACAAATCTGATGGCACAGCTAAGTCGATTCAAGCAACTTGGACAAGTTATGAAGCGGAGGCGCTGAGTCAAGCCGGATGTTTAGTGCGAAGATGAGCAACCACAGGGAGTCCACCATCCCACTATCTGAAAAAACACTCACAAAGAAGAAAAGTAAAAGCACTGATAGAAGCAATGCTATTGGCAGATTTAGATCAAAATCCACTGCGCTTACGCAGAAAAAGAAAAAGAAAGCAAAAAAAAGGGAAAGTAAAAGCAACAGCAAGTGAGTGTGTCTGAAGGTGGAGAGATCAGGGTAAAGGAACAGAAAAGAAAAAAAGCAAAAAGATCATGTCGTTGGGAGAATATTTCAGAAAGCGGTGGTGATGGCATTATGGGCATGACCTATTAAGCAGAGGGTCGGATTTATTTTTTGATGTAATTTATTTTTCTTATCTTTCGGAGACATCTGTATAATTCCCATCAGAAGATAGTCAATAAAAAAAAATAGCAAAGCCCAAAAGAAATAGGCTGGAATGTTGTGTGGAGAGCGAAGGCCCATAAGCCTAAAATAGCACCAACCAGGTCATCAAAAGTATGCCCCGTACTCCATAATTATTCAGCAACCTGCTGCTATTACCACCAACCAGGTGATCAAAAGTACGCCCAGTACTCCAAAATTATTCGGCAACCTGCCGCTATTACCACCAACCAGGTGATGAAATGTACAACCCGTACTCTAATATCATTTGGCAACTAGCCATTCATGCCACCAACCAGGTGATGAAATGTACAACCCGTACTTTCCTTCATGCCACCAACCAGGTGATCAAAAGTACGCCCAGTACTCCAAATTATACATGAGCATTACTCATGTCATTCATACATAAACATTCATGAGCATCACTCATGACAATCATACATAAACATTCATGACCATCATTCATGTCAACATTCATGAGCATCACTCATGTTAACATTCATGAGCATCACTCATGACAACATCCACGAGCATCACTCATGTCAATCAACATAAACATTCATGAGCATCACTCATGTCAATCAGCTTCAAAAGCTTCATTTACAGAGCTCTAGCTTCAAAAGCGTCATTTACAAAGTTCTAGCTTCAAAGCTTCACTTGCGAAGCTTCACCTACAAAGCTTCAGTGCAGGGTATACAAATACCACCTTCGAACAACCGTCACTTCGGCCCATACATGGATTCAATTTGAAGTCTCCAGCCAACAGACTCTATTGACCGAAGACTTGGGGGACTACATTATATACCATATATTGGGCCTCAACTGGGCCTCATGAAAAATACTTGGGGGACTCTAGCCCATTATTTATGTATTGAGGAGTGAGCCCTTATTCTATAAAAGGGACTCCCTCACTTTCATTAGAGAGCACCCATTATTCATGTACTGAAGAGCGAGCCCTTATTTTATAAAAGGGACTCCCTCACCTTCATTAGAGAGCAACGCCGCCAGTTGAGCAACCGCCTTGCAGCGAGCATCACTCCTAACTCATCACTTATGTATTGAGGAGCGAGCCCTTATTCTATAAAAATGACTCCCTCACCTTTCTTAAAGAGCAACGCCGCCAGCTGAGCAACCGCCTCGCCGCGAGCATCACTCCTAACCCATCACTTATTTATTGAGGAGCAAGCCCTTATTCTATAAAAGGGACTAACTCACCATCATTAGAGAGCATCACCGCCTACTGAGCAACCGCCTCGCCGCAAGTATCAACTCTAGCCCACATTTTTGTATTGAGGAGCGAGCCCTTATTCTATAAAAGGGACTCCCTCACCTTCAATGCCACAAGCCGAGTCAACCAAGGTAACATAAGCCACAAACAGAGCAGCCTCGCAACATGTGCTACTTCTAGTTGAGCACCATTTCAAATTGAGCACTGCATCATATCGAGTATCAGTTCTAGACGATATATAGTTACTTCGGCCCACACATGGACTGAATTTCAAGTCTCCAGCCAAAAGACTCTCTTGACTGAAGACTTGGGGGACTATTGTTAGTACCATACTTGGGGCCTCCGTATTTAGATCTCGTATAAATACTTGGGGAACTTAAGTGTAATTATGTAATAAAGGAATGGGCAAATATGTAATAAGTGAGGAGCCCTTATTCTATTAAAGGGACTCCTCACCCTCACAATGGAGAAGGCCAATTCCTAGGCCCTCTCACCCCATCTCAAAGCTCTCACTCTCAGAGCTCTCTATCCCTCAGATAAATACATAATCAGTGTGGACGTAGCCCAAACCTTGGGGTGAACCACGATACATCTTGTGTTATTTACATTTGATGCAGATTCACGATCAGATTTACGTTGTACCAAGACCTCCGGTTTTGTGCATCAACAAGATATGTGATGAGATATGAATGTGTCGTATAGGTCACAAGAGATGACTCCGACTTAGATGCTAGCATATATGTGATGATATATGATGAATTGCTAGTATATATTTATGATGGGAGATGTGATGAAATGCTAGCATATATGTAATGAATATATGTGATGAGCTAGCATGTGTGGTGAATACGGGATGAGCGGGCAGACGTGATGAATATGCGATGAGTTAGCATATGATTATAAATATGAAAAGCATGACTTGAATTGATATATATATATATATATATATATATATATATATATATATATATATATATATATATATATTCTAAACTTTCTAGAAATTATACAAGTGTTGTAGAGAGGGGTTATATAAATTTATATGGTTCCTATTAAAATTTTAATTACTTGGCCACTCACCTTTGTCTTGTCTTTACCCTCCAGATCTTTTTAGCTGAGCTTTCTTATCGTCGAGGAATTGTGGCGATTCTTAGTATTGGAGATCATTCGAGGGTACGATTCTTAATTCACTCTTCTGTACTTGCTTATGCTCTAACGTCACGTATGCAGTGGGTTCATTCCCGCTCACTAGTGCACTCTGGTATTTAGGCACTCTTAAGTTTAAATTTATTCACAACATTTTCACATTATCACACTTTATGGCTTCGTCACCTTCCAGGCGTCGACCAGCACAGCTCGATTCAGAGTTCTAGTGGACATTCTGGGTCGGGGTGTGTCATTTGTGGGTGGCTTCGATCGTTTCTACAATGTCCTAAACTTGGGATCAAACTAATTTTCCAATTTTATAATTTTATGTAGGTTGTTATTTAATAGAGGTATAGTTAAAAAATATTATTTATTGATTTATGTTTTCTTAATGAATGTTGTATTTCCTAAATAGGATTCATTGGGCGTCAAAATCTTTTATTTCTTGCACGTAATCGCAAGCTCCAAAACGTGATATCAACTTCAAAAACTAAAGCATCGTTCCAAACAACTTTAGATAAACATTTTAGTCATTTCAAACTTTTATGGGAACTGTTATCAGCGCTTTAAAAATCTAATTGTATATTGTTCATAAGTGTATATTTTAATTCTATATATAGAAAGTTCAAAACGTGATATCAACTTCAAAAACTAAAGCATTGTTCCAAACAACTTTAGATAAACATTTTAGTCATCTCAAACTTTTATGGGAACTATTATCAGCACTCTAAAAATCTAATTGTATATTGTTCATAAGTGTATATTTTAATTCTATATATAGAAAGTTTGGAGTGCAAAATTAGATTTTTGGAGTGATAATAACAATTTCCAACTTTTATTTGTGATAGACGGTGCTATCCATCTACTTTTTTTTTTATCTCCCACACACCTTTCTGAATTTTCGGCTGTCGGGTCAAATAAATTAAAGAATATCAAAGAATAAAAATTAACAAGGGGTGTGTTGGAGGTAAAAAGGAGTGTATGAGAGGTAAAAAGAAGTGTGTAAATAGCATCACCCTAATGATATTGCATATTTTTTTATTCATCGACAATTATTACTATGTGGAGGGGTGTTTGCTTAAGCTGTGACTAAGACAAAATTATAACTTATTACATTGTAGAGCTTATTCCCATACATAACAGATCCTAAGTTAGAACTTATTTTTTTTTTATTAATTTAAGGAGTTATTCATTTATACTATTACTAGAATCCCATTGTAAGGCTTAGCTAACTCTCCCACTCTTAGTGTAATTATAATCGTTTGTTAAAAACAAAAAAAAAACAAAAAAAAGGAAAAAAAAACAACGTAGGGTATAATTGTAATTGGGCAAACAAAGAAACTTGGTTCCAATTTTCTTGAGCCCAGTAGCGGCCACGACTCCGTCAAAGCTCTCAGCCTTGTGATCTGAAAGTTTCTACCAAACCTTGATTTGTTCAAGTCGGCAGCAACTCCAGATCCTCCGCACTTCTCTCACTCATCTCTCATCTCTCTCTCTCCCACTCTTGAGCTAGCTACCTTTGGATTCCGTTTGCTGCTGCCGATCTGCAGGTAAAGCTTCAATCTCCATATAAAGTTTCCAATTTTTCACGATTTCTGGAATTTGGGTTTTGAACAATGGAAATATTGCTGAGTTCTTATAATTATGTGCAAATTAGTGGTGATTTGGACTGGTGCCTGGCAGAAGACTGTCATTTGTGATTCACATACTTGCTAGTCTTAGAGGAAGTTAGAATCCTATCTTATATAATCTAGGCCTTACGCGGTTTTGAGGTGTTGGGTCGATGTCGAAATCCACTGTATGGAAGTATGAGTGTGTTATTACGCGAAGAGGATTAACATGATGATAGTAAGCAACGATGACAACTTGGGTTTTCTTTCTCCCATTAGTGCCATGTTTACTTTCATTACATGGAATGGGGGAAGTCATGAATCGACTAAGGAAAAGAAGGAGTGGTACGGATCAACTAGTACTCCCTAGTTGATCTGATTGCTGATTTTTCAGGAATTGGATTAGGGATTTAATTGTGGAACGCGTGATTACAGAGGAAGTTCGGAATGTGAATGATTGTTTATGCAAGTGATATGCTAAGTTAAGTTCATCTAAACTATGGGATGGGGATTCAACTTGGGTGCAGAGGAGGGAGCACACTGCTCTTGGCTACGCCTAGGTCTGCAAGATTTGGAATAATTTCAATACCCATGTTTTAGCAAACATTGGAAAGTCAAAAATCGGAAAAATTCCAATACCCATTCCATGTAAGTAAACATGTCATAAAGGGAGGGGTAAGGTAGGATGGTGGTAGCTATCAATTTGAATATCTTGTGGTGAAATGGATATTATTATTGGATTCCTCTATATATCCTCCCATTTTGGAAAATCAACAATTTCGGTTGAATCTCGATTTCTTGAAATATTGGATATAACTATGCAGGAAATTTCATTAAATTTATTTGTCTTACAGAAGTAATAACCCAAACAACATGAGCACAATGGCAGCAGCGACGACTTCACAGCTCTCATGCTTCTCTGCCATGAATCGCCAGCTCCACCTCTCGAGACGTTCACTCCTTTGCCCAACCACTGCTCATCCCAAGTCTTTGTCGCTGCTTGTCATGAGTCTTGAAGGTGGTTCCAAGACCAAGACTAATTTGAGTTACACAAGCAATGCATCAAAAGCAAAGTCGGATCCCATTTTAGATGATGAACTTGTTGCTCAGCCGAAGAGAGCAGCCAAGATTCATGATTTCTGTTTTGGGATTCCATTTGGCGGGATTGTTCTAGGTGGTGGACTTACTGGATTTATCTTCTCCAGAAATCCTGCCACTTTGAGCTCTGGTGTGCTGTTTGGTGTGGCATTGCTAGCCCTTAGCACCTTTAGCTTAAAGATCTGGAGGCAGGGAAAGTCCAGTTTACCGTTCATTCTAGGACAAGCAGCTTTGGCGGCGGTCCTCCTGTGGAATAACTTTCAGACTTACGCATTGACGAAGAAAGTATTTCCAACAGGCTTCTATGCTGCCATTAGTGCTGCAATGTTATGCTTCTATTCATATGTCGTCCTCAGTGGAGGAAACCCGCCACCAAAGAAGTTGAGGCCATCATCTGCAAGTGCTGCATCGTGATAGAAACTACCCGAAATGCCTGATTAGGTATTGAGGTTATAAACTTTTGTATGGCGGAATTTTGCATTATGTATACGAATTATAGGTGTTTTCTCACGAATAAGTAAGTTTTAATTTTGGTCAAGCAGGAGGCTTGAAATGTTTCCACCAAAATTTTGTGCAAATCCGCTTCCAGAATTGATTTTGAGGCGAGTGATAGAGTAATTTAGTGGCTGATGGGCTTTGATTTTGTACTGACCTTTATATCCCAAACAGTTGATTTCTTTTTTTGCTTTTGGACAAACGATAGAATTTGTGTAAACTTATTTTCACAAGATAATTTACCTACAACAAAATTACATCTGGATTTTGTTTTTATACAACGTATTAAGGGGTGGGGGAGTAAATTGGTATTGAACACACTGTTCATGAGACTCAAACCTAAGACCTCTCACTTACAAATGAAAATGAAATTACTAAACTATAGTACTAAGTGGCAAAGTACCTCCGAAATAAATAATCACAAGTTGTGTTCATTTGATTTGAGTGGACCACCACACCTCCACTAACTTTTCCTTTGGGTTATTGTGAAACTCAATCCATGATTCATGTGACGAATTCAAGATTCTAATATCAGGTGGTCCTAATTAAGGCACACTAAACGCTAGTCGAACGGCAGACTGAGACTCATGCGCTTAAATGGAGTCTAGGCAGACTACCGAATTTAAGTAAACTGACTCTATATCATATAAATGCGTCAATTTACAATGAAAAAAAAATTATACTCGGAGGGCAACGTATAATATTCTCAAGAGATTCAAAAGCTACCAAACAAACCCGACCCAACTCAAAAACCCGCCCCAACTTATGAAGCACGGCCCAAATCGAATAAAACCCGCCCCAACCTCTCGAAATGAAGCAAACTCAATTCACGTCTCTCTCCCCCTCGTCTTTCGGCGAAAGAAAAACTCTCCGATTCTTTCTACAGCGAGAGAAGAAAAGCTTCGTTGCCGCTGACCATCGCAACCCTTTCGGTACGTCCATTTTTCCTCAGGGTTTTTCAATTTTTTTTATTGTTTGGATTCTTATCGATTTTATTCGTTGTCGAAGATTTTACCCAGTTTTGGGATTTTAACTTTGAGAGGTTGAAGATTTCGATTTTCTTAATTTTTGGGTCGTTTCTGGTTTCTTGTTGGTTTATTTTCTCAATCTTTTTTTACTCTCTAGTTAAACATGATTTGATATCCAGAAATTTCTAGTGTAATTTTTGTTGCCGATCTGCAAGTAAGCGTTCCTGAAATCCAGTTGTGTGATTTTCTTAATCTTGGGGCCAAGCATGTAAATTATTTTTGTTTGGCGTTTTTTTCAGACAAATTTTGGGGATATTTGGTGTAATACAATGGATTTTGATGTTTCTGTTATTCTGATTTTGCAGTGAAGCAATGGCAACACTGGACTCAGACGTTCCGATGATTCCCGCAGGCGAGGGTTCGAGCAGTGCAGGTCCTTCTTCGACCAAGAAGCCCAAGCGATTCGAGATCAAGAAGTGGAATGCTGTAGCTCTCTGGGCTTGGGGTAACCACTCTAAACCCTAACCCTAGTTCCTCTGGTTTGTTTGGACTTTAATTTTGATTAATATGGTGTTTAAGTAGGTCACTGATGTTGTTTCGCCTTGTTGTGTGCAGATATTGTGGTTGATAACTGTGCCATTTGCAGGAATCATATCATGGATCTCTGTGAGCTTTTTACTTTACATTTTCATAGTTTGAATCTATTGTCTTGATGTCAGTCCTTTTTATTTATTGATTGTTATTTTTTGTTTCGTCGTGAATAGGCATTGAGTGCCAAGCAAACCAGGCAAGTGCCACAAGCGAGGAGTGCACGGTTGCTTGGGGTAATCTTCAGCTTTCAAACCCTACTTTTCTTAAGTTAATGCATATGCTATAGTTTAAGTTGGGTACTGATTTTTTTTTTCCTTAAGTTAATGTATGTGCCCTTGATATAGACTCTGATTCACACCACTTGTATTGGGTGCATGGATGATATGTCACTGTTAATAAGTATCTTATAAGTTCACTAGCATTTAATATTTTCAGTTATTAAAACGTTGTCAATTTTTATGGATATCTGATTGTTTCTTATTTTTCTTTTCTCCGTGTTTCTACCTCCAATACATTTTGCATAATTGGGAAGCATGTTCTTTGTATTTTTTATCATTGAAGTCTAAAAGGGAAGGATAAGAGCTCTGTCTTAAGATCATGTAAAGATGAAGGCTGAGACTTTTCTAGGCGTGGTTAGTGCTTTTGTTAGGTGCTTAGATATAAAGAAACAAACATGGAAACTCCTAGTTTTATTGGAAGGAAGATTCTTGTCTAATCAAAGGAAAAACAAAAGAGTTTGTTGAAGCGGCTTTGTGGAACTGTACGTTGATATCTCTAGCACTAGCTTGCTGAATTTATTTTTAGGCATTCTATGTGCCTTCAAAGCTTGTAGTTTATCATCTTTAGGACCACTACACAATTCATTCACCTTAAGACATTTGTTTGAAGCTGGCCTATTCTGTCATATGTGACCTTACTGGCTAATATGCTTTAAATGGGTGTTGGTAGTGATGATTTTCTCATATGGGCACTTCAGTTATCGTTTCTTATGGTTCTGAAAATAGTAAATTAGAGATTTATATTATCAGCATCCTTGTCTAAACGTCTTCTGTTTCTTTTTCTCATCTCTGTAGGGGTTTGTAACCATGCATTCCACTTCCACTGCATAAGCCGATGGCTCAAGACTCGACAAGTGTGCCCATTGGGTAAGATTTTTGCCTTACTCATCCCGTACCTGTTCTTATATTACATATTCTTATATTAGATATTTGCCTGTCTTTATGGGACGACGTCTTGTTTTCTTGTTAATTCAGATAACAGCGAGTGGGAGTTTCAGAAGTATGGTCACTAGCACCTTAATGTGGCGGGTTGAACGTTGTGTGCACTTGCACCACCCGCACTATCAAGGAGGGTCTCATCCTCATCCCCTCGTGTCTATCTTTAGTCATGCTTAATTTGTTATACTTTGTACTTTGTTATTTCAACTGAGCCGGTATATTTTTGTGTTAAGCATTCGGGTGCTCAAGTGTCTGATCTTGGATTGGATTCGTTAAGCATTCAACTACAAATTTTCAACTGTATGCCTTTTGTAGGCGTGGTTTTCTTTTGGATTTGCAGGTGTATGGTTTTCTTGTTGTGATCTCGCTCTTGGTTTTTCATATGGTTCTTGGTTGTAATCGATGGAGCAAAGAATCGACATCACAGAGATCTTTCAATCGAGCCAAGTTTGAATTTTAACCTAAAAAACTTGGTACAGCCAAATGACACATTCGTCGGTATTTAAGAAACACAACAAAATACATGTTTACCTACAAGAAATGTCAAGAGTTAAATTTAGTGATAGTTTGCAGGTTTTTCTAAGAATAAATCATTGTGGTGTGATTTTTGTTGTCAAACCTGTTGTCGGGCTTCTAACAGGTTGGTTGACATTTTATGTTGTCTCGCTTCTTTTCGGAGCTGAGTATTTGAGGTAAACATAATCTGATACTTGAAATACAAAATCTTTGGTTTGTGCAGCCATACTTGTCGAGCTTCTTATCGGAGCTCAGACAAGGTATACCTACATGTTGGGATCATAAGACGGGTGCCGCAAGGAGTAATACGCTTTCATTGGAGATAATGAAAATCTCATTTATTCCGCCGTATAAGAAAAGGATGAATAATGATTATGATAAAAATCATAATATTATCCCTCTATCTTCACTCTTCGATCGATGGTGTAGAAACATGCTTACTCAACGGCCTTGATCACTTGGGCCGATGGTGTAAATTTGGGCCCAAACAGTAAAATTTCTTTTTAGCTAGAGGTGAATTCGAAGCCATGATCATATGTTTTATATAAATTGATTACATCCAGTTATTGTTTCGTAAACCATGAATGTGATTTACTTATCTTCTTTATAGAGAACTTATTCTTGTATGTTGATTAAGGACGCGTACTTAGTTTGCATGCAGGGATTTGATGCTAGAATATAAGAGAATTTCACCTAATCGTTATGAACTTATATTTGCAAGTAGTAAAACTCACTAGTCATGATTAAGTTAAGTAAATTCCTGGCAGGAGTATCATGTAGTTCATAGTTACAAATGTTTTGTCAATGCTTATGATTTTCACAGAACTTAATGATCTTTGATATGTATCTCTATCATGTTGTTCATAGTTAGGGAACTTGACAAGAATAATTTGGTTGCGTTGCTGAGTCCAATTTAATGAACTTAGGAAAATTTGAGAGTTAATTTGTGCAGTTCACGGTTAATTTGGGGCATTGTCATTCGTGGTTTATAGGAATAATAACCGAAAATCAATTTGTATGCATATGTTTCATGTGTGGAGAAGAATCCTCTAGCTAGCCTTTCACCCAATTTTCGTGCAAACCTACTTTGTTTCTGCAATTTACTTGTTTTAAGTCAAAATTTCGTCCAAAAACCTCCCCCCTTAGTGTTTTGTGTTAGTTTTGTCTAGTTTTCAGTTTTTAAGTCTAATATGTGTTGATTAGTATCCCTTCTAATCCCCGACCTAGAACGATCCCTATTTATCCATACTACAATTGCATAATTTATAGGGTTTAATTTGTATGTTAGTTTTTACCACATCAGGTTAGAGATCCGTTGTTGTGCATTCATATGCTTACATGACTAGATAGCTTGACCTCAACAATGTCGTAGACACTCTCGATAGAATGCCTTTGACATGATCAAAGATCAAAGACCTAACCATTAAACATCTATGATGCCTCAGGTCAAATGACTACTTGGCATATTGCAACTTGCGAGTTCTTACATGACATGTATGTTCGAACTCTATTTTGATCGTTGTTCAGTGTACTCGATTACCTTTTGAGCACCTATGTGTTTGTCTCAATGTCCAACACTAAATGACTTGAGACTAGTCATACTCATGCTTGAGTTAACATAACACATACTAACCTTAGCGGATTGTCAATGACCAATTGGCAATTCTATGGCTATGTACGTTTTAGGAATGAACATAAGAGAAAGGTCTCGTTAATCTAACTTACTTAGATCACTTCTCTCTTAGATTAAATACATTCATTGGATTCTCTTATTGCTTAAACACATAATACAATAAATAGTGATTAATAATAAGCTTTACCCTTCATTAATAAACATATAATAGTTTAATACAATAAGTATTCCAAAAGCTATTACATCAAATGAGTGGCTTTGTGAGCATACTTCCAACACATTTTCACTTGGAAGTGAGAGGTATTTGATTCGAATCTCGTGGATGGCGAATTCGATACCAAATTAGGCTACCCATTATATGGCTTAGCCAAACTCCCCATCATCTTAGTGTAAAAATATCGATGTACTCAATAACAAAAAAATAATCAATTCAATTTTAATTATATATGATTAATGTTCAGGAAGTAAAAAAGTATATGGCTATGGAGACAAAGGAGGAATATGTAACTGAGCATGGTTGGCTACGTCAGTCCAATTTAATTAGTATAAATCTATATATAAAGTGAGCACCTTAAAATGGTGAAACATTTAAAATACCATAAATTGTCCTTTAAGAATTTCATAAATTACAATTGAACCAAAAGAAGCTAAAGTATTTAACCATATTTTTATTTTGAATGAATTTAATATTTAAAATTATAGAAAAAAAAACAAAAACAAAACCTTCTTAATTTTTTTTTTAAATATGTAAATTAATTATTTAAATAAAAAAAATAAAAAGGCCAATTGCCACACGCGTATGTGTGTCGCAAGAAGCTAGTATCATATAAGACGAGAAGGAAGGACTTCTCACATGTCACATCACACACATTCAAACCAAAACATTGCAGACTTTCCATAGCCTCGACAAGCCACGTGTATTTCTACTTCCTCCATCAATTCCCACTAGATTTCAGCATTAAAATAATTTAAAAAATAAAATTTAATATAAAATAAAATTTTCTCTCTCTTCATCGACCTTTCTCGCTCTCAAAATATCATGAATTGAGAGGACTTTTTGCTGGTTGATGGACAAATCGAGAGGAATTGGACTGACGGACGGAATTGAGCTTCTATCAGGGGCATAGGCTGGAAAGAAAAAAAATTGTTTTGCACGTGAGCTTGTTTTCTACTTAAGAGTTTTAATTTTTTTTTTCTACTTATGAATTTTAGATTTTTTATATTAGATAAAATTAGTAAATGATTTTTCATTAAAATGAATTTAATCCAAACCTTTTTCGTTAAAGCTATTCAAAAACATAATTCAAGACCCAATACCCCATAATATACTAAAGCCTATTGTAGTGCCCAATATCCCACTGTACTAAACCCCATCGGGTCCAAAATCAATGGGCCCCGGATAAGTGAGGAAAACCAGAGTTATACAGAAGGAGCCTCGTGTCTTCATTAATGGGTTCATGTCAACAAAGCACTGGCCCTTTGTTACAGAGACGAAGCTTGAGGAGGTTTTGCTCCATGTTTGCTTTAATCTTCGCCACTGATGAAGCTGCAGAGCAGAATATAATCCGCAATTAATTGTTGAAGTAATCAAATTTTGTGATTAACATTGCGATTAAGCATTTGGGTTCGAAAATGATGTCTCCGAGGCCAGTTCCTGAAGACGGAGGAGGATCTTCTCCCCATTTCAGGTAACCCAATCTCATCTCATTTCTCTGTAATTTTTTTCTTTGATTTTTGAGGATTTTTGAATTCTAAAACCTAGTGCTTCGTTTGGTTCCTGATAAAGTGTGTAAATCTTATGCTGTTAATCCAGCTGGTATGGAAATCATAAAACTGGCAATGCTTTTCGTTTTGTTTGGTTGCTGGGAAAATTGGGTCCGAGTTTTCTTGGTGCTCAAGGGTTTGAGCATCATGAGTAGCTGAATAAATGTGTATAAATATAAATGCAAACAGAAGAAAACAAAATTTAGCTTTGTGTAATTGTGAAGTTGGGTTTGGTGGAGTATGGGCTAGTTGTAGCTTTTGTTGGGTAACAATCAGCTGCCTAACCTTGGAAAACTGTATCTGTAAAATTTTAGGAAGGTTTGGAATGCTTTGGCGGGTACGAGGGGCCATTGGATTGTTAAGTATAATGCTTTACAAATTTGGTGTTGATTAGTTTTGTTTTTCCTCTTTACTTACCCAAAAATTGGAATTTTAGTTGTAGTTGAGACAATGATGGTAATTTCAGTTGCCTCAAGTTTACAGTAAACGGGCCTTTCCCAACCCCTACCCCCCACCACCACCGTAATTCTATGATATCTCCACTTGGTGTGCGAACACATTGGTCAATATCCTTTACCACCAGTTATTAGGTTTATACAGTTTACTATCACTGTTTACATAAGAGGGGATTAATAGGTGATCAGAAGGTAGTGATGAGAGTTTCATTTCTACGCAGGTTCAATCTGTGGTTAGGTCGAGATTATGGGCTTATAAATTTTCACTATGTAATAAGTAATAAGGAGCTAATGTTCATTGTCGAAGGTAGAAGTTAGTTGCTGTGTAGTCTGTATTCAGTCTGGATTTTGTTGTTTTCTTATAGCTTGAATAGATTTCTATTTCACCACCTTCCACCCAAATAATAAACCTATAATAGAAGAACTTATGAAGTTCTGGGGTTTATCATACTGTATCTAATATGCCAATGTGTAAGCCCAATATTTTGTTTTTCTTTTGGGCAAGATCAACATTTCATGTGTTTTTACTTTGTTGTTCTTTTGAATGCAACTAATTATACCACTGTGATCTTACCTTAATGTAGGCAAACACCCTTTCAAATAATCCATATTATTGGAAATTTCTTGAGAATATGGTCAATTGACTTCTTGTATCGCTACTTGTCTGAAACAGGAGCTTCGGTTGTACTTTTTCTCTTCACCTGCCTGATCCCAGCATCCACCCTATTTATAATTATGCAAAAACCTTGGAAGGGCAGGCCGCTCTCAAATACACAGGTTCCATAATACTTTGGCTTTTATTAGAAAATACCTGAATAGGCATCGGTAAAGTTTATTCAATGATTGCCATTGCATAGTTCTTGAGTGTTCCTTGTTGTTTTCAGGTGGTGCCTTCTATAATAAATGGTGGCATAACAGCTTTATACTTTATTTTGTGGGGAAAGGGCCTCAAATCATGTGGACCTCTAAGTTAGGCTTGGCTTATAAGATTTCAGATACCACTACTAATGCCTTACAAGTGCTTGTTTATATAAGTTTTCAATTGTCTGAATATTCTATTTACTTTTTTCCCTATTTTTTCAAATTATGTCAGTATGATTGTGAGCAACAATTAGCCAGTAGCAATAAAACTGTGGTGACGATATCAGATTGAACATAATTTGAACAAATAGAATTGATTCTGTTAATTATAACTGATTTTGTTTCATCTTTACATATTATGTTAGAGCTATATTAGCAGAGTATTCTGCTGCTGTCCTTCGAGTACCGTCTGGAGTATTATATGGTCGGAGGGGCCACGTTTGGAAAAAGGTAGCTCAGTTAGCTGCATTGTCCTTTGCTTAGACCGTGTCTTCATATAAATAATCTATCATTATCTTCGAGCACATGAAGGCCTTCACTAATGACCTTGGCCATTTTCTCACTTCATTATATTATCTTTGTTGGACAAATATCCCAGAATTTTTTCTCTGGCTATATAAAATAGGTTAGGACTTCATTGACTAGGCTGGTTGGTATCTGGACTTAGGTATTCAAGTTTTAGTGAAGATATATCAAGGAATAATAATACAAGATCGACAGTCCTGGTGACTTAATATCAAAAATATTTTGATTGAAAATTGGAGCTATTTGATTCCTCTTTACTCACATGGATGTTTCTTCATCTTTTACCAGGTAGGTGGGCTTATTGCAATGGTGGCATCTTTCTACTTCTTGTCTCAAGGATGGGCCATGGAATCATATTCTCCATTCTATGTCCTCTCTTATTGAATCTGTTGTTCTTTCACTACTATATAGGATAGTGTGTTTTATTGTCGTTCCTTCTTTTCCATTTGTCTTTCCTCTTCTGTCTTGTTTTCAACATAATGATTGTGTTTTGGTAGTGTGTTATTGTGACTTAACCTGAAATTACCATTTCAAGATATCCTCGATGATGAGGTTCAGACGGAGCAAGTGTTGGGTATAAAAGAGATGGCACTTCCAATCTCTGCTGGAATCTTATCAGCACTGAGGAGGGTGATTGCCCGGCGTGTTTCGCTCAAGGTGCTGAACTGCTGATATTCTTCTATCTTCAATTATCTTATTACTCTTTTGCTCTAACCCAACCCAAGAAATATATATGTATGGGATAGGATCAAGGGACAAACATTTTTACAAATATTTTTACACTCTTTTTAAGCCTTTAGTTTACATGACATCCTAGGGTCCTAATTTATTTATTAAATGACATGGATGCTTATGTGGATTTTAACTAATATTAAAAACAAAATAAAACTGAAAAAACATAAAATCTATAAGGAAATTAAATATAAATTTAAAAAGGAAGATAATTTAAAACTAAAATTGGTGCTCCCATTCTCATTTCGATGAAGATTTGGATTCACACCCTAGCTGGAGTGAAAACATTATTATCAGACTTTGAACCCTGATGAAAAAAAAAAAAACAAAATCATGAAATCTCTTCTTTGCCGATGAGGTCTGCAATGATTGGATGAAATAGGTAATACCCATGGTAAACAAGGATTGAATAAAATATGATACCAGGCATAGGTAATACCCATCATAAACAAGGATTGAAATAGTTTGTTTGATTCGAAAACTAAACTGACAAAACTAACAAGATTTTGAAGAACTAAATTTAATCATCCTGCAGATATGAACAGTAATATAGGGTTTTATTTTGCTTACCTAATGAAGATTTACTAGACTAATAAGTAAAAGCTTGATTTGTTGTAGGGGCCATTAGAATTTTGTATCAATCCAAGGCATGGAGTTGCATGCCTCATAGGCAAAGAGGAAGATTGAGGCTACGAATTAATGGAGTTCACACTTATAGGGTTTCTTCCCTTTAAATTTTATATTTCATTTCCTTATAGATTTTATATTTTTTCAGTTTTATTTTATTTTTAATATTAGTTAAAATCCACATAAGCATCCATGTCATTTAATGAATAAATAAGGACCCTTGGATGTCATATAATCCAAAGGCTTAAAAAGAGTGTAAAAGTATTTGTAAAAATATTTGTCCCTTGATCCTATCCCTATATATATATATGTGTGTGTGTGTGTGTGTGTGTGTTTATTTTTCTTTTAATTAAAACAATTAACAAATTATTGTTGCTAGTTTAGCCCTTTCTGTGCTTTCAGAATCAACTTAAAAGGCGACTTAATGCGATAACTATTGCATCTGCAACATGTTTTCTGTTTCCTGTGGCTATGTGGGACATGATCATAGTAAGTTCTATGATATGATAAGCGGTTCTAGGTCGAATTTAATTAGATTGACATTTCAGTGGGTCTCTAGTTTAATTTTACGGGCTTGCCTTGTTTAATGTTGGTTTTGTACTTTATTTGGCTTCCCTGTTGTTCACTTTTCTAACTTTTCCTGTTGTTTTTGTTGGAGCACTTAGGGATCACCTTCAAGTACCAGCGATAAGGTGTCCTTCTCTACTTGGGCTTTTCTGAGCACCATTCTTTTTGGAGTAATCTTGATATTCTATGTCTATAGTATAGCAGAAGAGGGGTATATTTCACAACTTTCGATGCAATTTTGGCCAATTTATCTAGAATTGCTTGATTATCAGTTATTACTTGTTGCCTACATGAACATTTCATATACTTTATGTTTGATCAGTAATGCTCCTAATGTGTTATAGGTTACACATGGTTTTCTCTTCTCCAAGGCATTTAATGGTAGCTGGAGGATGCATAATCGTTATGGAGTTGTGTACAAAATGGACTTTTCTTTTCCAGGCTTCCTTATTTGCTGCTTAATTTTGGGCTTTGGTATGTTTATAGTGTTCATCACTGCCAGTGTCGGCATTGTCATTGAGATTGTGATCAACGTTATCCTCATCTCTATTATTGTATCATGTGATTCATGTATTCCATGCAACTTACTGAAAATGAAATATTTGCTGGTACATATGAGTGCTTCTTATGGATGTAATTTATTTATTAATGTATGAATTCACTTATTTGCATATCTGCATTTTTAAATTTAATTTAAGTGGTGTCTGTTTCATTTTTATTTATTAGTTTTGCATAACTTGTTCGTAAAATTTAAATAACATTTGTAGGGATATATGAGGCAACGTCTTTGGAACGTGGTAGAAAAGATTATTTTCGAACTTCAGATCCATCAAATGGGATGCTAGGGGAGGGACCAAATTCAGATGTCTTCACTTCCAACTTGATTTATGTTTGCATCTGGATTACAAGGTTGGAATTATCATTTGGTTACAAATTTTTCATCTTTATTTGCTATAGCTGGTAAAATTTATTGCAAATTGTAGTCTTGAAAGTAATAGGCATATTGATGATGTTCGTTCCAGTTATGTGAGGATCTACAGATTTTAGCAGAATTTTGAATCCTGACCCTTCATATAGATATCAGAACACGTACGATTTCTTGGTATAATCAACATCCCACCCGAAAAGCCAGCACTGAGATACACACTAAGGCGCACAATATTGTCAGCAAGTTTTCTCTGTTATTAGTATTTCATGATAAAACCAATATTTTAGAAGTAGCAGGTAGCTATTTTGCATTTGCTGAATAGTCTAAAATCAAATGGGTTGGAAATACCGTCCCTACCAAAAGTAGTATACAGAATTTCTCATCTCGTCTCAGATTCGTGTTTTATTTTTAATTGCTGATTACACTTCTCTGTTTCTCATGCAGTTGCAATTGTGAGTTAATGTACATCAGTAGCAAATTCGTCGGCAGCAAGTTGCTGGACAAATGTTGGTCCATTAGTCAGATGCTAGAAAACCAAAACCAGGAGGAGGGAAATATACTCGTCGCAAAACACTACGCAAACCCTGGATTGTTGAAATGATCGGAAACTCCCGAGAAATTTGTTGTTTGTCGATCTTGATGTGGTATGTCGGGGGATCTGGCAGTGTTGAATCTGTTGAATCCATTACCACTCAGAAACGTGCTGTACGGTTCGAACCGGCGATAATTTACCATCTGTTGAAGAAATATACTTGTACTAACTTTTCCGGAATTTTATGACTCCATCTTCTCTCTTACAAATGGTTTTTAGTCATGAGATTTTCGTACAATGTCTGTACCCTAAAAATTTTGCTTGCTTCGCTTACTGTCAAGGGTGAGAAAAATTTAGGTGGACGAATATTTGGAAAAGTGGTGCAATAACTTACAAAAAGAAAATAAAATGGTTGAAAAAGTTTTATTCTTTTCAGGGTTAAGTACAAATAACAACCCAACTTTTAGGGCAATTTCAAATTGGTTTTAATCTTTTAAAATATTTCAAATAACCGCCTAACATTTTAAGAGTATGACATATGTTAGATTACTAGTGTTAAATGATGACCTAAACAAGTTTTGAAGCGTGATTCAGAACTCTATAGCTGACGTATGAGTGAAAATCATCTTCAATATTTGTTCACATCATTCATTTAACATTAACGAGATCAACAATTAACATTAGTACTGTCACCACTCAACGCTTGTGACCTAACGATTGACTTCATGGAGAGCAATTATTTCTGAGTGATTAGAAGATGTAACAATTAATGTTTGCTTCGTTGAGTGCCATGACATTGTTGTATTTCCATAAGTGAACACATACCAGCTCATGAGCGGGCTTTATGCAGATCGGAGAGAAAACCAGCATCTGCCTATCCAATAAGATTCTGGTCATTTGTGGATACCCATGTCTATTATCATATAAAGATATTTTAAAACATCTTTGACTCCCTTCCAATGTCGAATTGTTGGAGTAGAGCTATATCTTGCTAATAAGTTGACTGAAAAAACTATATATGGTCTAATACATTATGCTAAGTATAGTAAAACACTTATTGTACTCAGTTATGGTACTTTTGGACTAAGGACTATTTCATCATCTTCTTTTGGGCAAAATGGCTCTTTCTCAATGTCAAGAGAGCAAATGATTGTTGGTGTACTGAGTAGATAAGCTTTAACCATCCCCAATCGCTTTAGGACTTTTTCAATGTAAGTTGATTGATGAACCAAAATTCCACTAGTACAATGCTCAATTTGTAGGCCGAGACATTACTTTATTTTCCCAAGGTCTTTCATTTCAAATTCAGATATTCAGTAGTTTTTTTGAGCTCTTTAGGAGTTCCAACTAAGTTCATGTCATCGACATATATTGTAGCAAATCTAAAGTTTGACTACCTAATAAACACATAAGGACAAGTGACATTATTGGTATATCTTTCCTTGATTAAATACTCACTGAAATGATTATATCACATTCGTCTAGATTGTTTCAACCCATATAATGATCACCTTAATTTGATTGTGAGCACATGTCATGGTTTGTTTGTTGTTTCAGGCAACTTAAGTCTATTTGGGACTTTCATACAAATCTCAGTATCTAATTCTCCATATAGATATGCAATGATGGCATCCAAAAGTCACATATCAAGTTTCTTTGAAAACCACCAAACTTATCTAGTAACTGAACGTAATTACATCCATTACAGGAGAGTATGTCTCGTCATCAGGTATGAAGCAATATTTTCACTAACCATAAAAATATGAACATGATTATCAACGATCATAATTGTTCATTTTTCTGTATTCGCTAAAAGCAAAATGAAAATCTAAAAAAAATAAAATAAAATAAAATCTGGTAAGAAGAATATAGTGTAAACGTGAACGACAATCAACAATTAGAAATAAATCTAGGGTTTATGGATTATGGTGTCGAATTTCGGAGTTAACCTCTTCACGAAAGTTGTAGAGCTTGTCTTTACGAGTGTTTGTATATTCTTTTTACATTTTCATTAATTTTGCTTAAACAAAAAACGTTGTTTACAAGGGTATGGAGGGTTTTTAAAATCTAAATGACAATGTAACCTTCGTCAAAGTGTAAAGGATGCGATCACGAGCGTTTGCCTATTTTTTTTCAAAGTTTTTCACACTTGTAAATTAATAATATGAATTTTTAATGTGCTTTGGTATTTTGTAGGGAAAATCAAATTACATTAAAAAAAATTCATAACAATTAATTTACAAGTGTGAAAAATGTGAAACAAATATGCAAACACTATCATCTATACTTTTGGGTACATCGTTGTTTGAATTTTTAAAACCCTTCAAACCCTCGTGAACAATGTTTTTAGGTGGAGTTGAAAACGTGTAATAATATATAATAATTAATTCCCAAGTGTTAAAAATGTTAAAACAAAACTATGAAAATGCTCGTGATCGCATCTTCGACGCTTTGATGATGGTTACATCGTCGTTTGGATTTTTATGGTTTAGGGTACGAAGATACTAATTCAGTGGTAGCATTGTGTATATATTAATTTAGTGTGGTATTTTTTATTGAAGTAAAATATTTTTTTAACGGGTAATGGGTTGAGTCATATTACCCTTTAATTTTAACGGATCAAGTTTGGATTGGGTCATATTACCTGTTCATTTTAACAAGTTTGACACGACAAGATTAGTTTAGATATCGAGAATGTCACGAAAATGACATGAACATGACAAACACGACACAATCGCCAAGTCTAGGTGGGGGGAGTCTGGTAAGTCTCGTGACACGTCACAACCTAGATATCCAAAAGACACCTGGATGGCACGTGTTAGCCGATACCAAGGGTGACAAAAGCCATGAATGAAGCTACGAGGAAATGCGGAAACAAGCAAACTAAAAATTATGCCAAAACAACATTCACAACGAATATGCAACATTTAGAAGCAATAATAACAGTAAATTCAATTTAAGCATGAAAGAAAACAGAGTATCCAACGATCACGAATCTAAATAAAAGATGTACGATTATGTCTAGAGCATACCACTAAACAAAAGTGCTAGAGAGAAGTAAGACAACAAGAAGCAAATAATCATAAAAGGAAGCCATACTCAAGCGGAAGGATGCAAGGTCACTGATAGGGAAAAGCCTCGATGCTCAGGTCGTACTCCTCGTCACTATGTCCTAAGGGAGGGCACAAAACAGAAAAGGTTAGTGGACCATAATTTATAATAATACTAATACTATGAAAAACCGATTTCTTTTAGAGCACATTAACCCCCTGTTTTGAAAATCCATATAATACTACATATAGTAAGTTTTCTAGAAACTCTAGCATGCCATAAATTCATTCGTAAAACAAGAATGCGTAAAACAATGTTCAATAATGGTGCTAAAGTCGCACGAAGGTAAATAATCTCATCAATACTGTACTCTATAGTGGTATCATAGTCGCCCGAAGGCAGTACCTGTCCATCACCCGAAGGTGAAGCTGTACAACACTGGGTTATGCCAGTGAAAAACATGGTAGGCCCCATCACTCGAAGATGAAGCTGTATGACTCTGGGTTACGCCAGAGAAGGAAACATAAAATAGCATAGCATACACACCGACACTAGCCGTGGCTAGTGAAGCTGTCCGACACTAGTTTCACCGGTGAAGCTGGGGGTATAATATCTCACTATTCTTCAATGGTGTACTATGGCCATAGACATCATACCCGTGTTGTGCGTATGTGTCGTATGATAACCCTCTAGATAAGCATCGAAAAATATAAGTCAAACTCGTATATTAAAACACTGAAGTTCAAGGGCTTAAAACCTCATCTCATCAATCATGAAAACGCATATTCATAAAACCCAAGTATTTCATATACGAAAATCCCTTATTTTGTCACCTTTAAAAACAATGTAAATTCGATAATTCAAAAAATATTTCATAAAAGCAATTTAAATAAATCATAAGTATATAAATCCATAAAACATAATAGAAAAACATATTCAACTCATGAAATATGCCATGCATGCAACCCTGACAATTTATAAAATATGCAATTTAAGAAGGGGTCCACCCACAAATATTCCGCTATCGGAAAACCACTCGAACTAGGGAGGACTGGATCACTTCCAACCGATGCACCGTTTTGGAGTTGTGTCATGGTCATAAATTAGCTCGAAAGCCATTGGGTCTCACAGAAAAATATGGAGAAGAGTTCTCGAGGTATCCTTGAGTTCAAACACTACCAAAACACCTCAAAAACTACCTAAACACAGTACTAAACACGATCTAGGAAGATTTAGAGGTGAATTTGAACTTACCTCGTCAGAAATTACGTGCACAGTGATTGTGCACAATGCCGAGAAGAAGAGAGAGTGTGAGATCGGAGGGGGTGAGGGAGAGAAGGAAGAATCTAGGTGGTGGTGATGGTGTGGTCGTGGTGGTTGTTGTCTATATGTATGTGTGTGTGTGTGTGCGCGCTCGCCGGAGAGGAGAAGAAAGTAAAGACGAGAGAGAGAAAGAGGGAGAGTTCTAGAGAGAAAGATGTCACAGGAGTGGGGAGAAAAGGGCACCAAAAATGGGGGAAGACATGCCAGGTGTCAGCCGTGTAGAGGCCCAAAGTGGGGAAAAATCTTTACTTGTGAAATTACCAAATTACCCTTGTCGTTCAAAAATCGTAGAAGCTTCGTTTTAGCTCCAAATTCGATTCCGATTGCGCCTACACATTCGTATCAACGAGAGCTACAGAGATAAATTAAACAAAAAAGTCTAACATGTCAACAGACAAAACTCAACCTTTATGTTATTAGGGGTATTTCCGTAATTTTAACTAATTAAAACGTAATTATCGAAACAGGTCGTTACACCTCACAAGTATTTAGTTCAAATTCGTCTTTAGTGAGAATCAAATCTAATACATCTCACTTACAAATGAAGAGGAATATCATTAAATTATAGTACTAAACGGCAATTAGTAGACATTTTAATTACAAGAAAAGTCACAAGTGGTGGATTGCTTTAGCAGTTACGCCTTTCCTCTTCAACTCATTACATATTGGGTCAAACCCTCCCACTCTCATTAGCATAGATTAGCGATATCATTTTGGAAAATGGTACTATTTATTAGGGTCTCATATTAATTTGATATGAACACACAACTCCTAACATGGGATTTTTTTTTTCTCCATCACAATCTGGAATGATTAAAATGTGAAGAATTGTGGATCAAAACTTACACGATTTTTGCCTAATCGATAATCTTATTTGTCGTGACTCATGAGTCATGGCAGAGTCGCAGACTAATTGGTTCG